CAGGCTCACTGTGGCTTTGAACAACTTTCCTAGCTTCTTTGAGTACTGTTTTCCTTGCCTGACAGGGTTGTAGTAAGATTTAAATAAATCTCAGTTATTTAATGACAACTCATTTTCTTGTAGAACAAAAGCTGCCCTTTTGTTCAAAACCTCCTGTGACTCCTCTGGCTTAGGGTGGAATCCACAGTCTTTGCCTCACGTACAAAACATCTATGTATGGCCTTCCCTGCCATACAGAGATTACTCTGACCTTCCCATCTCCCATCTCCCCACTGCCCACTCTGCTCCAGCCACACTAGCCTCCTATACTTCCTCAAATACATCAACTAGGTGCCTGCCCCAGGACCTTTGCACTTGCTGTTCTCTCTGCCTTTTCCACTAGACGTTCACATGGCTCACTCCCTTACATCATGTAGGTCTCTATTCAAATGTCAAAGTGGCCTTTCCTGGCTACCTTATAATTATAGCACTCTATCACTCTGTTTCATTATTTTTTCTTTGTTGTGTGTTTCCTTCCTGTATTACGTTATATTTTTATGTGTTGTGTGCCTCTCTCTTAGAACATATGCTCTAAGAGAGACTTTGTCAGCTTTGTTAATTGCTAAATCCCCAAAAGACGCAGAACGTTTAAAATATTCCTTAGGTGCTCATTTCATGAATGGATGGTTGGATGGATAGGTGGATGGGTAGATGCCTCTATTGAAGCTCCTATTTCATTTATGGTAACTCTGTCCCTGTCGTTTGGTTTCCCTATAAGACAGTGAGGGGAGGGCTTTTGTACCCAAATTAGTACCCACTCGAGTTTAGCGAGTGAGTGAGTAAAGGGGATGTGTGTGGTCCCCACATTTCCCCAGCGCACAAGGCTTGCTGTCCTCTCGGCCTCTGTGGTTTTTTTCTTCTGGGCAATGTGCTCTATTCCTGCCTGCCCCTCTGCCCCAGGGTGTGGCATGTCACAAGCTCCTGGTCGTCTGCTTTCTGTGTTAGGGCATGGTCAGGCAAAGCCAGACGTAGAGCCATCCTGTGTAGCTCTTGGGATGGTCTGTGTCACTGTTGTCCTCAGCAGGGCCCCTGGTGCATGTTGGGTACCCAGGTGGGTTTCCTTCCTCTGCTGCCCCCGACTCTTGGGCTTTCTCCTAGTCGTGGGCCAGGCTACTGGAGGAGGGACAGGCCTGGGCGTCCCCATCATCATGGCTGTGCAGATTGTAGGGTGCCACGGGGAGTTGGGGTGTCCAAGCTGAACCTAGTGCTCATCCTTCTGGGCAGGCTTCTGGTTAGGAATATCCTTCCCCTCCCAGTCTTCCCAAGAAACTTGCCGTTCTCCTTCACTGGCCAGCCCAAGGACCACCTCCTGCAGAGACTTCCTGGCCTCCCCTGTCGACCCAGCTCTCCCGCCTGTCGCTTCCCAGGCCCCTGCCCCACGGCTGCTGGCTCCCATTGGCTCACCTGTCTCCTTCCCACTGGACCAGGAGTTCTCTGGGGGCAGGACTGGGCCTCAGCAGCCTATTCCTTCTGTGTCGCCAAGTAGGAGAGGCATAAATGTTGGTTGAGCTGAGTGAAACCCTCCCTTTCTGTGTCTGTATTCGCCCTTGGCACAGAAGAGTCTAACCAGTGTGGTTGGAGGAGCCAGAATCTTCCAGAAGGAAGGGGCATGGTGGTTCCCTCCCCCTGAGCTGCTGCTGTCCTGTGTTACAACCTGGACTCCTCCAGGCCCTCCCTCTGCATCCTGAGCTCCAGTCCGACCTGGGCCTCTGACCTGGTGTCACTTTGTATTACTGTGCCTTTTAGCAATAGTTCTACTAATGGGGGAGAGGGCTGTCTGAGGCCCAGGGCATGAGGACAAATGTGCCTCCACTGGGCATCCCTTTTTGATGGCAGACATTGCATTTTGTGCATTCCTTCAATAAACCACTGCTAGGGCTGGGGATCCTTCTCCGCTCAGCGCTTCCCCTCGGGACAGCCTCCCCGGCCTCTGTCAGCCTGGCAGTGTTGCTCTGTAAGGTGAACTCCATTTGCCAGCCCCAGTCTGGGGCCTTTACACTCAACACAAAATGACTTACAGAGGTTCATGTGTAGACCCTGCGGCAGGAAATCGGGAGAAGCATAATATTTTTGTATAGAAACCTCCCTCCGAATCATACCACACCCATATCTGCCTTCTCTGGGGGTGAACAGTTGTGGCAATGCAGGCTCAGGTGCCAGGAAGCTTGCTGAGTGATTCTGCCTCTGCTGTGCCTTTGAGGAGGGAGAGCATCAGAGTCTCCGATCCTAAGTCATTGTTCCAGGCTTGGCTCCTACTTGCTGGCTACGGACCTTGTGACCTCTCTGAGCGTCACTTTCCTTATCTCTCAAATGTGGGTCCCATCAGGGCCCAGCCCCCTGGGTCATCACTTGGCAGGGGATGAAATGTGGGAGATGACGGTGATTTCATAAACCATCACATGTAGTCTGCCAGAAGGCCTCCCTTCCCTGACACCAAGAAACCAACTCCTATTCATCCTTCAAAGCCCAATTTAAATGTTGCCCCCTTTGAGGAGCTTCTGCTTTCTTTGTGCCTAATCCCAGTCTATTTTTACTACAGGAGTCTGGTTTGCGGTGGAGTTGTTGGAATATCTGTCCCTGTCTCTGACTAGGTTGTGAGGCCTGGCTGGAGGGGCAGGACCCCAGCTTTCTCATCTGCATATGGTAGGCATGTAGCAAATGTCGAATTGAACGTCCAGCATAGGAATTCTGGTCTACTAATAGCCACCGTTTGTTAAGCACCTGCTAAGTACTAGGCCCTGAAATGAGTGCCTCCTATGTGTTAATCCTGACAGTGGACGCCGTTTGTCCTCCCATTTTACAATGCAGGAAACTATAACTCAGAGAGGCAGAGTAACCTGCTTGGGGTCACACAGCCAGTCAGCTGAGGAGGTCGGAGAGGTGAATAAATGGCCAGGCTGTGTGAGAAGTATTCATACCAGCTGGAGCAGAGACCATTTATTCCTTGGCATAGAATTGAGACTTTGTAAGAACTGCCGTGCGGGGTGGTTATGACAATGTTTGTAACTTACATCTGCTCAGACTCTGGGGCTGGAGGACTGATGCAGAAATGTTTCTCTCCGACCACCGTGGTTTTCTGAGAGGACCACAGGGCTTGAGAGGGTCACAGGGCCATCATTCCCTGTGGCACGAGCCGGTGTAGGTGCAGGGGGAGATTTTGATCAGCCAAAGGTAAACAGTCATCAGAGACTCTTGGAAGTAGAGGCTTCAAAGGCCCCCACGCTGTACTTGAGGAGGTTAGGGGGACAGTGAGGAGGCTGGTCCAGTCGTCTGGGGAGGGACAGAGGCTAGATTGTGACTGTTAAAATGGCAGGGTTTGGCGGCCGTTGGCTGTGGCCATGCCCTGTGGTGCTGGTGCTCAGGCCCACAGAGGCCTTGTCCCCTCCCACAGCTGTCCGGTCAGTCCCGGGCTGTGCTGTGTGGCACCTGGGTGCGCCCTTGTCTCCCCTACTAGATTAACCCTCTTCTGGGGCGAGGGCCGGGTCTGCCCGTCTGTGGGTCCTCAGCCTCCTGGTGAGCGCTGGGTGAAGGTGTGTGTGATGAATGGGTCCGGTGGACGGGGTCAGGGGAGACTGGGTGGAGGGGCCAGGCTTCCAAGGATGGTGCAGTTGCACTTGCAGGACAGAGAGGAGACTGCTCATCAGTGGAAGCAATGGTGAGAGCAAAGACCAGGAGGCTGTTGGGGCTGGGGGCCTGCAGGGTGGTGTGAGGATGATGAGGGGCTTGTTTCACAGACAGGCGAGCTGAGGACAGAGAGACCAACCGAGAGGCCTGCTGGGCATGGGGCGGGCAGCACAGGGTGATGGCAGTCATGTCCATCCCAGGGAACACTTGCAGAGCTTTTTGCGAGACAGAGGAGTGGTGTTGGATGACACCTTTTCCCATGCTTGTTGGAGTGCTGTCTCCAGAACCCTCAGGACAGCCGACGTGGTGGGAGCTGCCATTAGCTCCACTTTCCCCCTCAGGAGCTGGAGGCCCAAAGTCACGTAGCAAGTGTGAGCACTGGGCTTCACACCCAGGTCTGTCCGAGCCCAGAGGCCAGACCGAGGGCCCCTCAGGGGCAAGCGGACGTGTAGCAGGCATGTGTCAGGGCCTCATAAATGCAAGGGCTGGTTTATCTACTGGACTGAAAGCTCCCTGCGGGCAGCAACCATGTCAGGGTCGCCGCTGGCATCCCTGAATCTGCCCAGCGTGGCCTCCTGTGGACCGAATGGCAATGGCTGGCCAGTCAGCAGGTGGGGTGCGGAGGGAGGAAGCTGCAGTGGCCCAAGGTCCAGAGGCCTTCCCTGCGCCAGGCATCACACCCTGGCTGTGCACAGGTGAGTGTGCGCACCGCGCCCATCTGCTGCCTGGCCTTCCTCCTCAGGCGGCCGTTGCCAGGGGTCATCAGCCGTGCACGGAGGGCTGCCGGTGGGCGTGAAAGGTTTGAGTCCTGCCTCTGCCATGTGCCGGCTCATGGAGGGGCTCTCAGTTTCGTCCTTGGTAAAGTGGGGATGAAACGATCCCTACCTCACAGCGCTGTTGAAACAGTCAGCAAGATCCTTACACAAAACTCGTGGCCAGGTGCTGGCACTCCATCGTCACATAGAGTCAGCGGCCCTCGTTTTGCGTGCTCCGCATCTCTTCTCCCTGGCAGCAGCACAGACTACTGAGTTTGATGGTCAAAACAAGATTTTTCCCTTGAACTTGAAGGCGCCCCGGGCAGCATCTGGCCCAATCTGTGTGTGAGAAAGGGCAGGCGGCCTCCATGCAGCAGGGCACCATACAGACTCCGAGTCCAGGGGCGCGTTGGTGTGGAGGACAGCGCCCTGACGTGGCCACTGCCCTCAGGGACCCCCTTCCCCTGGGAAATGGGATGAGAGTGGGAGTGAGAGAGCGCCCAGCGCGGGCCCACAAAGCGCGTGGCGGCGGACAGCGCCCTGTTCCCTGCTGGCTGACGGTGGCCTGTGCTCTCTCCCCAGAGACTGATGGAGAGGCAGAAACGGAAGGCGGACATCGAGAAGGGGCTGCAGTTCATCCAGTAAGCGAGCGGCGGTGGGCGGGCGGGGGCTCCCCCTGCAGCCAGGCCCTCCGGGCGCACCCTTTCCTGCTGAGCCTGGCTGTTCAGGCTCCTGTGTACACCGGGGTGTGGGGAGGTGGGACAGGCCAGAGAGGGGCTCGCGTGGCACGTGGCAGGGGCCTGAACACCACAGGCGTGGGTCATCTTGCCCTCACCCTCTACACTGCACACACACTCCCTGTCAGTGCCCTTGCGTGCCTGCACGCACCTTCCAATACATCAGCAGTCTGCCTCACTGAGCACCTACTATCTCTCAGGCTCCGTGCTGGGCCTTCACATCCATTGTCTTTTTAATCTTCGCAACAGCTCAGTAAAGTAGGTGGCCTCATTTCCATTTTGCAGATGGGAAAGCCAAGGCTCAGAGAGGTCAAGAAACTTGTTTAAGGTCAGACAGCTGTTGAGGGACAGCATTCTAACCCAGTGCTGGCAGACTCCAAAACCCTCGAGTCCTTCCATTGTGTGCCCCCCAGCACCCACGTGCCATATTCGTTTTTTCTTTTATTTCTTTCTTTTTTTTTTTTTACTATACAAAATATCTTGACTAACCTTTTTCTTTTATTTCTCTTAAGTAGATCCTCAGAGGCATATTTGCTGTGACAGTATGACGTGTAGGCTTTGTGGCCCCTGCTCGCGCAGGCCTGGAAGGCACGCAGTCTAGCAATTCTGTGCTTGTAATTCTGTGTTCTTTTTCTTAAATAGGGCTCCCCATAAAACTGGAACTTGCCTCTGCATGCCCTCATGCACTCCCCAATTTTGTTCTTTCACACGATCTATAAAGCACCCCCTGCCTTTTTTCACCCACAGTGTCACCACAAACCAGCTCCCTTTTCACACACACCGTGACCACGTTGCTGTCACAGAACAAGTGTTTATACTAACACAACACTCTCTCTCTTTTCTCAACTCACAACACGGTCACTTTCCCTGACTACTTCCTAAGGGTGTCCACAGATGGGATAATTTGATGAGGGATTTTTGGGAGCACCTAGAATGTGGCTCCAGGGCTTGCAGGACGCCCCACCCGGGCTGTTCCCTGAGCCGCCCTGCCCTGCTGCCAGCGGGGTCCTCAGATCCTCCTCTGACCTGGTCGGCAAAGCAGTCCCTGCTCGGCACTCTTCGTGGGCGGGCGGGGGGCCTTCTCCCACTTTGGGGAGCAGGGGTTTGATTTCTGTCAAGTGCTCAAACGTCTCCAGAGGCCGCCTGGCCAACAAGAGGACCCTTGCGGCGCCCGTTTTTCTTAAGAGGAGTTCTGCATCTTTGGCCTCTGTCACTGATTTCTCGGGAGCCGGATCCCCATCCTGGCTCCCCACTTCCTAGGCAGCTTCCTTGCCTGTGAGATGGATATAAGCCACTTCCCTCCCAGGGTCGTGATGAGGGTTAGGGGGCCAGTGGTGCTGGGGGAAAACGTTTGTCCTTGCGTCCTGCCCCCCCTTCCAAAGGGGCTTTGTCGAAGGTGCGGCAGCAGGGTGGCCTCCTGGGGCCCAGCTGCCAGCCTCTGCAGCTTTGCAGGAAGCACAGTAGGACCTGCTCCTTTTAACATCAGTCGCGCTATTTCTGCCCCACTGCTCCTACACTGCATTCTCGCATGCATGCTGCACGGGCTTGGCAAACATCTGTTAGGACCTCTGGGCACAGGCATGTGGGAGCCATAAAGTGAATTTGGACAGGTGGGTTGGCGCTGGCTTGCAGAGGGCCTTAAACACCAGACTAAGACGTCCTAGGACAGGGGTGTGACCGATTGAAGCTGGAGCTGATGGTGGAAGAGGGGAGGCTGGAGCCAGGAGGGTGGGGATGGGATCTGGGGCTGGGACAGCACAAGGGACAGACACCTGTGGCAGCATGGGGAGGGAGGGAGGGCCAGGCCTGGGCTCTCACAGTGGGGAGGCAAGTGAGAGGGTGGATGGCAAGCCTGATGTCACAACTGGGGCCACCTCACACACACGTGCACACACCCACAGACCTCCAGCATCTCTATCCCCACTTGCCACTCGCTAGCTGAGGCTGCTCCTTCTTGCCCAGGTATTGGTAGCGTTTCCAGCCAATGGAAAGAGCCCAGCCTTGCTCTCTGGCCCTGCCTCTGGTGCTGACCTGCTGAATGACCTTGGGCAAGCGGCCGCCCCGCTCTGCGTGTCTGTTTTCCGCTCTGTGAAATGAGGCACCAGGAGACAAACCCCAGTTTCCCTTCTTGCTTGGCCATTTAGCCGACAGGTGTGCCCTCAGGTCTCCTGGGCTGACGCCTTCTTTCATACTAGGCTGGTGTTATTTAGCCACAGGAGAGGGGAGGGTGCTCCAAACTCCACCTAATTTTTTGAGTCTGGCATGAGGCGTTGATAGGCTCGGAGCGTACCTGGTGTTGGCTGGGGCGTGTGTGTTTTGTGGGAGTGGAGAAGGGAAGGACAGAGACTCCCAACCTAAGGGGCCCGAGGTGGACTCTGGGCGCCTCACCGCTGTGGGCCTGCAGACACAGGTCTGGCTTGGTGAAGGTGGTCATTCCCAAGGCCCAGTTCACATGTTAGTTCCTCAACACTCGTGCTGCCTGCCTTTTCCTGCTGCCCCTGTCCCCACAGCTCCTGCTACAGGAGCGCCTGTGCCATCCTCTTTTCCTGGCATCGAGCTGCCTCACCGGCCCAACCGTGGCTCCTGCCCTCTCTCCCTCATGTAACTTAGAAAGGCCTTGGGATGTCTGCTCTCCTTTTAGGAGAGGACTTTGGGGTGGGTCTGCTCTTCCTCAGCATCTGCACCTGCGAAAGCCTGGCTGTCAGGCCCTCGGGGAAATGCAGGTTCTTCCATCAGAAATGGAAGGCCTGCACGGTGATAATTTAGGTGGAAAACCACTGTCCTCTCGGCCCAATCTGCGAGGGGATATCTGAGGTCTGAGTTGGAGGAGCCCACTCCTTGAATGACCTGTGGCCTGCAGCTCTGCCTCCTGGGGCCTCTGTGAAGCTGAGACCCCTGGGCTCACCTAGACTTTGTGTTCTTCTTTCCTGCTAGGTCGACACTACCCCTAAAGCAAGAAGAATATGAGGTGAGTGTCAGCTGCCAGGCTGGGCAAAGGAGAAGGGCAGGGGTGCCGGGGCTGGGGCTGGATGGAGAAGATGCTCTGAGCCCCCATGCACCTGCCCCCGACAGGCCTTTCTGCTCAAGCTGGTGCAGAATCTCCTCGCTGAGGGCAATGACCTCTTCCGGGAGAAGGATTACAAGCAGGCCCTGGTGCAGTACATGGAGGGGCTGAACGTGGCCGACTACGCTGCCTCTGACCAGGTCGCCCTGCCCCGGGAGCTACTGTGCAAGCTGCATGTCAACAGGGCCGCCTGCTACTTCACCATGGTGAGCCTGGCTCCCTTCCTCTCCTCCACCCCTGCCCCGATCGCCATGTCCCCCTGGTGAGCGTGTGGCCCAGGCCCAGCCTCCTCTACCTCCTCCTGCCTGAATCTCACTGTCTATCCCAGCTGCACAACAGATTCACCTGGAGAGCTTTTAAAAGTACTAATGCATAATAAGAAGTTTTTTTAAATGATATTGATGCCCTAGCCCTACCTCAGACGACTCAAGTTAGCATCTTGGGGTGACCCTGGCATTGGTGGGAGTCTGACTTCTGCCACTCCTCCCTCCTGGCCTCCTGAGCCCTTCCCACACCCTCGGCCTCCACTCTTTCTCTTCGACTTCCAGTCCCTCCCTCCCCTCCTCTCCTCCTTAGAGCTCCAGCCTCCTCTGCATCCCTGTCCTGCTCGCCCGCCGCCTCAGGCATTCATCACATCCTGTGGGAGGCTGCGCTGCGGTCCTCCAGAGGACCCCGTAACACCTCTGCAGTCCAGGGTGGCTGCTTCTGGATAAATGAGGCTCCAGGTGCCTGAGGGGTTAACCCTTCACATTCTGTTCTGTGCACAGAGCTGCCGTCACGGTTTCACTTCTCAGAGGTGGCATCGTTACTCTTAGTCCATGACGTTCTGAACTGAAGGCAGATGTGGAAATAGATGTGTCTGGGTGACTGGGCTCACTGCGGTAGAACCTGCAGGCCCCTGCCCGCAGTGTCCTGCCAGCACCCACTGCAGCCCTGCCAGCTGCATGCAGACGCCCTTGATCGGAGTCTGAATGCCAGAGCGCTTCCTGCCTTCTCTGCTGAACCCAGGCACCCAGCCGGGAGGAGAGGAGGCCTGGGGGAGGGAGGCTCACAGGTGCTGACCAAGGGCTGCCTGCTCCTCTCCGGTAGGGCCTGTATGAGAAGGCGCTGGAGGACAGCGAGAAGGCGCTGGGCCTGGACGGTGAGAGCATCCGGGCGCTGTTCCGCAAGGCACGCGCCCTCAACGAGCTGGGGCGCCACAAGGAGGCCTACGAGTGTAGCAGCCGGTGCTCCCTCGCGCTGCCCCACGTGAGTGCAGCTCTGCAGCCACGCCAGGGCCAGGCTCAGAGTCCAGGTTCCAAAGCCTCTGCTCTGGCCCTCACTTGGGCCAAGCCACCATATCTTTCTGAGCCTCAGTCTCCTCCTCTGTGACATGGAGTTGCAGATACTGACATTAGCAGTACTCAGCATTCTCTGAGCTCTGACAGTGTGCCAGGCACTGCTAAAAACACATCGTGTATTGACTCAATCCTTGCACCAACCCTATGAGGTAGATACCGTTATTATTCCCATTTGAAGGATGAGTAGGCAGAGGTGTGGAGAGAAAGGGACTTTAACCAAGATCACAACAGCCAGGGGGTGGCAGAGCTAAGACTTGAACCCAGGCAACCTGATTCTAGAGTCGGTGCTAGTAACTTATACGCTCTAAGAGCACATGGTTGCTGTAAAGATTAAAAGGGTGTCCTCGGCCGGGTGTGGTGGCTCACGCCTGTAATCCTAGCACTCTGGGAGAATTGCTTGAGGTCAGGAGTTCGAGACCAGCCTCAGCAAGAATGAGACCCCCATCTCTGCTAAAAATAGAAAGAAATTAACTGGGCAACTAAAATTAGAAACAAAAAATTAGTCAGGCATGGCGGCAGCTACTCGGGAGGCTGAGGCAGGAGGATCCCTTGAGCCCAGGAGTTTGAGGTTGCTGGGAGCTAGGCTGACACCACTGTAGCCCATGCAACAGATCAGAGCGAGACTCTTGTCTCAAAACAAACAAACAAACAAAAAGAACCTTTCTTCGTGATAATCGTCCCTGACCCACATAGCATTTTACAGTGTCCACAGCAGGTCCACACCCGGGTCTTGCTGGATGCTCACTCACAAGGAGGGCAGAGCAGCTTTGTCCCCACCACAGGTAAGGTGGTTGGGACCCACTGAGGGCTAGTAAATAGCATGGGGACAGTACCCAAACTGAGGACTCCTGGTTCTGCATTAGAGAATTACCCCTTCTCCCGGTCTTTGTCAGGAAAACACTGATGGAGCCCCTGCTCCGTACTGGGACCAGAGACGATGAGACCCAGGCCTGCCCTCCAGGGCGCAGCAGTGGGGTAGGGAGATGGACAGGCGCACAGGATGTCACGGCCTCCCCCTTACCCCTTTGCACCTGGACCCGTTTGTAGTTTCCTGTTTCTGTGTTTCCCGACTGATCTCCCCGCTAGACTGGAAACTCCCTGAGGCCTGGGCCTGTCTGCCCCGGCTCCCGCCTGGCACACGGTGCACGTTCAGGGCTACAGACGTGGACAGGGGAAGGAAGGACCGGTACTGTTCAGGGACCACTGGCTGTGGGCCTGGCACGGTTCAAACTTGACGCGCCCTTGCTCCTTTGGGCCTCGTAACCCAGGGTGCCATCCATGGGTCCTCACTTGCCAAGAGCTCCAAGACATTGTTTGGTGATAGATGCAAGTTGTAGAACTGCAGGTATAATATGATTCCACCTACATTTAAAAAAGGAGAAAATTCTCACAAAACAAAACTGAGCATTCTTTATAGGCCTGCATGGGTATATTCCTAGAAAGATCTGCAAGGAAACTTCAGACCAACACAGCGTGATTCCCTCTGGGGAGGAGCCTGCGATGAGGGTGGGGGAGGTCCAGGGAGCACTTGCTCTCTCTGCAACACTTCCCTCTTCTACAGTGACACTGTCACTTGCTGAATTTTAGGGAAAGAAAAGGTAATATTAACACAAAAATAAGATTATCCCTTTCCCTCCCCCAGATTAAAGGAAAAACAAAAGCATGGGGTTGTGGTCCTGGCCCTACCACTCACTAGGTGTGTGACCTGGGCAAGCCAGGGTCATCTCCTTCGGCCTTACTTTCTCATCTGTAACATGGGGTGACAATGGTCCCCCCTTGCAGGGCTGCACAGGTGTCTAGGAGCGTACTTTGTGCACCTGGGCAGACTGACCCACCTGCTCTGTCTCACCTTCTCCAGGATGAAAGCGTCACTCAGCTTGGTCAGGAGCTGGCCCAGAAGCTCGGGCTGCGAGTGCGCAAGGCATATAAGAGGCCCCAGGTAGGTGGGCTCCAGACCCTGGGCTGGGTGGGGTGGGGATGAAGAGGTCTGAAGGGAGGGACCAGACAGTGAGTGGGGGTGGCCAGGGCCTGGTTAGGACAGAGGGGTGACACAGCAGCTGGTTTGCCCTCTCCATTGGCTGAAAGCCCCAGAATGACTGCCAGACCTTTTGGGAAAGCAAAGAACAGCCAATGCTTCTAGCTCACCTTAGATACCAGCTGCTAAAAACCGCTCTCTCCCCTGCCCTGGCTGCCTTTAATCATCCTGGAGGTGGCCTGAGTTGACGCTGGCATCCTTCAGCCTTATGTTCTCAGATAACCCCCGTATGGTGCAAATTTGAAGTGTCAGTATCTGTTTGACTAGTTCAGATCCACATATATTCATTTGCCACCCACCGTGTGCCAAGAAGCTGCACGTAGGAAAGCGTATGGCTCTGGAGTCTCTGCCGTGACCTTGAGCAAGTTAGTTCACCTCTCCACCCTGGTTTCCTCATCTGGAAGGTGGGGGTGATTATGCCCACCTCAGGGAGCTCATGGCAGCTTTGAAATGCGAGGATGTTTGAGTTGGTGCCGGGCACAGTCCTGGATACACAGTAGGAGCGTGTATGTGGAGATCTCTGCCAGGGCCAGGTTGGAGCACAGCAGAATTTGCCCAGACGGAGCAGGTGATTCCCTCAGGGGGCACCGCAGAGCCCAGCCACCCACTGCTGCCCTGGCTGGTGGGACCCTGAGCATCTTTGCAGAATCTTCATCTCTTCCCACCTCTCTCCAATCTCCGGCAGGAATTGGAAACCTTTTCTCTGCTCAGTAATGGCACTGCAGCTGGCATGTCGGATCAGGTAGGCTGGGGGCTCCGACCCCAAGTCCCTTCCCCCTCCCTGTACCAAACGGTCTTCGTTCATTCCTCATGAGAGCTTGGGATTCACTCTCTGTGGTATAAATGACCTCAGGCAGTGGGTCCGGGGGGCATCCACCCTCACAGCTGGGCTCATGTCATGTTGTCCTGGTCCCCACTGTGGCGAGCCAGGCACATACCCTGGAAGGAGAGAGTGACCGACGGCCTGGGCCTGGGCCAGGCTCATGAAGACGGCATGTGAAGGACCATGAGGGACACACCCCACCCCACCTCCCTAGGAGGTGCCTCCTGTGACCACGGGGGCAGAGTGCGGGATGGCCTCCCAGCCAGGACAAGGTCTGGGTGGACCAGTCCCGACTGCCTCCTTTCTGCCTCCCTGCCCCACACCTCCTGCTGCCATTGGCTCCTTTGTCACCAGCCTCTCTGCAGCTTCAGGCCTGGGCCTCGAGCGTCTTCCTTCTTCCCTGCCCTGCCTTTTCTCTGTCTTTCCACGTTTCACTTTTTCGACAGCGAAAAGCCCAAGTGGACCCTGTGCTGGCCTCCGCCTTGGGTGGCTCCTCATCTTAAGCCTCAGCTTCCAAATCCGGGAGATGGGGATATTGTATCCCTCAGCCAGGGCAGGGAGGGAAGCACCTTATAACCTGAGAAACGTGGGCCCGTTGGAGGTGCGAGGGCAGTAGCCGCTGATAGCTGCGGTGCTGTCTTGAGGTTAGGACTCCCCTCCCCCGGGGCCAAGACCTTGTGTAACCCAGGCAGTCCCAGCTCCTCCTGGGGGTGGTGACAGGGCCTAGCACATGCCTCAGACCCCAGCCCCCCACTCACCACACAGGAGCTGCTCAGCTGGACTTTGAGGCTTTTAGGAAAGTGAGGGATAGGCTGTAAGAGCACGGATGGAGCCTGGTGTTTTGCCACCTTGTACGTAAGGGGAAACTGAGGCACAGAGTGGGGAGGGGAGTTGACCAAGGCAGCAGCAGAGTGTGGGGAGGCATTGAAGGGGGCCCACATTGATTCCATTCATTAATTCAGGAGATATTTATTGAGTGCTTCCATATGCCCATCAACAATCTACGCATTAGGAGCACAGCAGTGTGCGACTGCTCTTCACAGCAGAAGCTCAGAAGATATTTGTTGAATGACTAACTGACCATGGCCAAAGGGCCACAGCAAATATGGGCAGAATGCCCTGCTCTGCCAGGGCCAAGCCCGTGACACCCTGTCAGTCTGCAGCCAGTGGACCATAGATGGCACCATACCTGGTACTACGGCCCCCAGCCCTGCCAGATGTCAGGTTATGAGGGGCTGTGAGAAGCCCAAGCAGAATGGACTCCACAGTGGAGTGGACCAGGTCAGACCCTGCCTCAGTGCCTCACTGTGCCAGCGTGGTTATGTGCACACACACACGGTGGCCTGAGGTCACACAGAGCAGGGTGGTGTCGCAGCCAGAGCCCTGGCCTTCTGTAAGTTGTACAGGCCATGGGTGAGCGTGGGGTGAAGGGTTCCCTGTGGGTTCTCCAGCATGGGTGTGGGCATCTCATGCATCCAGGGAGTCGGTCATTCCATACATGTGCCTAGGAGTGGGGATGGCCCAGGCTGTGCCCACAGGGAGCTTCCTGTGACCCAGGAGACAAACAGAGGCCCTGCAAGACACAGTGTTTATGCAGGAGCTACCGCCTGGCAGTACAGAGCAAGACGCAAGGAGGGCTCTGAGTTCTAGGAACAGAGCGCCCAGGGCAGCCATGAATGGAGAGGAAGGAATGTCACTCATGGCCCAGGGAACACTCCCTTGGCTCACTCCCTGAGTGACGGGAGAGGGAGAGATGTGCCCCGAACCCCAAGCCCAGCTGCTCCTCATGGGGTTCAGAGGAGCCTGGGCTCTGCGGCCAGTGCGCTTTGGCCCAGACCCTGAGCACGCCTCCTCTCCGAGCTGGCCACTCCACTTCTCAGGGCCTTAGCTTCCTTCGCTTTAAAAGGAGTCACAGTGCCACCTACCTGGTGGTTATAACGGGTCAGACATGAAAGCTCCCAGCACAGCACCTGCTGGAAAGAGAGTGCTCCAAAACCTTTGTCGCTAAATGAATGTTACTAGCGGGGATTCCGTGCCGACAGCAGGAAGAGAGGAGCCTGGGGAGGCCGCTGGGGCGAGGCGGTGAGCAGGAGGGCTGAGACGGCGGCTTTGTCCTTCAGGGCCTGGGAGCCACAGGCAGGACCTAGCAGGAAGGATCACAGCTATCCCTAGAGATGTTCATCTGGCACCTCGTTTCCCCCTGGAATATGTTGTAGACGACCTCGCGAATAGCCGCTCTCTGACCAGCTGGACGGCCTTGCTCTGTGCAGTTTATCTGTGCCGGGCGAGCACCCCGGGAGACTGATGTGCATGCACACGTCTGCTGGGTGCTCCGCGGACGGGCTCAGGGGCGTGGGAAGGAGGCGCTTGGTGGGAGTGGGGGAGACGGAGTGCACGGGCCGAGGGGACGGGGTCTGACCCGTCTGACCTGTGAATGGCAGCCTTCTGGGCTGACATCTCTGTGCCATGGGGTGACACCTCATGGGGCGCCTGGACCGAGGGCCAAACTCAACACTGGGTGTAAAATGCTGCCCTGGGCCTGGTGTTGGACAAATCCTGGTACTGTTACTGCTACTGATCCCTGGGAAAGGCTGGCCAGCGGTGGGGGTCTGATCCTCCACCCCACGCTCCCTGAGGACACAGAGGGGGAGGGGCCACCCCAGGCCTCATCAGAGAAGCAGGACTTCAGCCGGGCTGTGATGGACTCAGAGAAACAGGGGAGAAAGTTCAGGACAGAGGAATGACCGTCACAGCTGGGGTGGACAAGAAGCTGGGAGTCTGCTGGGGGTGGAGCGTGGAGGCTGGTGAATTACACAAACACCCAGCTCACCCAGGCCTGATAGCTTGGACTTAAAAATCTACCTTATGCATCTATAATGTTATAGGTATCATGCAGCACTTAAAAGCACTTCCTGTGTGCCAGGCACTGTTGTAAGCTCTTTACAAATACCAAGTAATTTCATTCCTAGAACAATCCCCCGAGGTGGGTGTACCCTCATTTTACAGACAAGCAAACAGGCCCAGAGAGGATGAGGGCTTGTCCAGGCCACAGAGCAGGTTCAGGCCCAGCTTTCCCTCCAACAGAAGGTCCACAGGCAGCAGTGGAGTCCCCCTGGGCTCATTCCTCTTTCCTGCTTCCTAGGGGTCCCGGGTTGGAGGTGGGAAGGGGACCCTGGGGATTTAGGGAGTGGGCACTTTTGTCCTTAAGCTGCAAACCATCTATAGTGCAGTGTGGAGGGCTTGGTAAAACCCTTGCCACCCTTGCCAGGGCGTGGACCCCAGCCTGTGGCCAGTGGGGAAACTGAGGCTCAAAGTTTATAACCCCTACCCTTGGCCACTGCTCCAGAGAGGGGCAGCTGTGAGGTTTGTCTGAGCCCATACCCCCACCTCCCGGCCCATGCCCGCCCCTGGCTGGCACCACGGGGGTGAGGGCCCGGCATGTGTTGGGTCTTTAGTATCCCCCAGTGCTCTGAGTGCTCCTCAGTACCGTCACCAGCACAGTCATGCGGGGCAGGGCCGGGACCTGGGTGCCAGGCACTGTGGCCTTCCCTGCCCGCATCGGCCCGACCTGCGTGTTCTTCCCGCACAGGGAACTTCCAATGGATTGGGCTCCATAGATGACATCGAAACAGGTAATGTTCCTGGTTCGAAAGGCCAGGATGGGGAGGGGGCATGGGGAGGGATCAGCCACTCACCCCCAAGGTCCCTCGGAGGTCAGGCGAGTCGATCCCCTGCCCATCGAAGCTCTGTAGACAGGAGCTCCCAAGGGGCCCCCTGTCCTGGGGACTCCCTGAGGCATGAGAGGGAACAGCAGGATGAGGACCACAGACTCCTTCTCAGGGAAGGGAGAACATCTCTAGCCTGGTGAGGGGGGGTGTTGTCCTACAGCAGGTGGCCATGGTCCCATGGCCTTCACTCCAGGCCTGCCCCCACCCCTGGGAGGCCCCTCATCAAAGTCCTCCTTTTCCCTTCTCTCCCTCAGTAGCTTCCAGGAAGGGTTACATTCTAAGAGTATCCCTTGGAGAGGGCACTGCTCACCCCAGAGGAAGGAGGTAGTGAAGGTAGACACTCAGGCACTGGCCTGCGTGGGCTGCTGCTGTAGGACCGAAGGACCCTCTCCCACCCGGGGCTGCTGCCTTCCTCGACAACTGCCGAGTCTCTGCCAGCGGGGGCAGGCCGATGGGGCAGGCGGGGCCCCTGGCAGGAGCTGGGGAAAGAAGGGAAGGTGCTGGACATGCACCCCAGGCTGGGACACCTCCTCCACTCCCACCAAGCAGCACCCGCCCCCATCCACAGACTGCTACGTGGACCTGCGGGGCTCCCCGGCCCTCCTCCCCTCTACCCCCACGATGCCCCTGTTCCCTCACGTTCTGGACCTGCTGGCCCCCCTGGACAGCAGCAGCAGGGCCCTCCCCAGCGCCGAGAGCCTGGATGACTTCTCAGACGGGGATGTCTTTGGCCCTGAGCTGGACAGCCTCCTGGATTCCCTGGTGAGCCACATTGCCCTCCTGTTCCCCTGAACCCTTCTCCTGCCTGGGCCCTGGTTGTTCTACAAGGGGTAGAAGGAAGGTCGCGTCCCTGTGTCACAGTCGGGAAAACTGAGGCCTCAGGAAAGACTTGCTTGGGATAGAAATGCGGCTGCAGAACGTACACCCAGAGGGCCTACGCTGGGCCCTGGCTCCCCTTGGGGCAGGTTGAGGCCGCGCTGCAGAGTGGGGTGGTAGGTTGGCTGCTTTCTTGAATGCCTGGCTCTGCCCAGGCCTGGCAGTCATGTTCTTCTCTGACCCCTCCTTCTGTCCCTGCCTCACAGTCCCTGGTCCAGGGTGGCCTGCCCGGCAGCGGCGTGCCGAGTGAGCTGCCCCAGCTGATACCTGTGTTCCCCGGCGGGACCCCACTGCTGCCCCCTGTGGTGGGCAGCTCCATCCCCGTCTCCAGCCCACTGCCCCCGGCCTCCTTTGGCCTCGTCATGGACCCCTCCAAGAAGCTGGCCGCCTCTGTGCTAGATGCCCTCGACCCCCCAGGCCCCACACTGGACCCCCTGGACCTGCTGCCGTACGCGGAGACCCGGCTGGATGCCCTCGACAGCTTCGGGTCAACCCGAGGCTCCCTGGACAAGCCCGACTCCTTCATGGGTGAGGCCTGGGTGGCACATTCACCCCTAGCCCCCTTGACAGTTTGCAAAGTGCTGTTGCACTGCTAGTCTCTGAAGAGTGGAGTTGGGATCACAGAAAGCCCAGGCCCTGCCACGCCTTAGCGACCCAGGGCCACGTCTGTGTGTTGCTGAGTCTCTTGTTCAGGATCAAGCAGAGCACAGCAGATAGTTCTGCCCTCCTGACTCCCAGTCTGGTTCTGTCTGCCCAGCCTCCCAGGATTGGGTGGCCAATCTGGAGGGATCCCATGGGATGATCCCACGCTGGGGGCAGGGTGCAAGGCCATGAGCTTCTGCAGCACCACTCTGGGCTGGGAGCCAGGGACCCAGAGAGGAAACAGACCTGTCTGGGTCCTGGTAGGACTGGCCCTCTGCGGTCAGACATAGCCCACGGCATGCAGAGGGAGAGGGCTGAGAGGGATTCACGGGGCTGTGGGGACATGGAGTGGGGGGAGTCACTCAGCCTCATGGCCAAGGGAGACTTCCTGGAGGAGGTGATGGCTGCACGAGGTCTTGAAGGAGAAGTTCATCTGCCCAGGAGTAGGAGCAGCAGCACAAGCCTGGTGCAGTGCAGGGGCTGGCTGGTGACCAGAGCAGTCTGCCAGAGGGAACATGGGTTAGGGATCTTGGTCTCAGAAGACCTGTGAGTGCAGTGGCCATGGGGGTGAAGAGAAGGGGACAGTGTCCGGCCAGCATGGGTAGGAGAGGGTGTACAGCCTGGGGGCTTCTCTGAGTTAGAAACACATACAGGGAGGTCCTAGGGAGGCCCCTCCTGCTCTCAGAGCCAGGGCAGCTGACCCTCTGTGTCTTTTCCCCGCCCAGAGGAGAACAACTCACAGGACCACCGTCCCCCAAGTGGTACTCAGAAACCTGCCCCCTCGGTGAGTCACTTGGCTGGGCCCCATGGCCAGGCCCGCATTCCCTCCTGGGGGTGGAGGGAAAGTGGTTGTGGCCTCCAGAGTGGGGGCTGCGTGGGGTGAGGTGCTGCCTCCACGGCGGGGCACCCTCAGTGGACGGGCCAGAGATAGTCTCTTCCTCGCCCTTCCTCACCAAGCCATGTACTGGGAGAGCACCCTGCCCTTGTCTGGCAGGAGAGCACTTCAGGGCTCAGAGGGTTAAGTTGACTTCCCAGGTTTAGTAACATCCCTGGTTTCCAGACTCAGGTTCTGAGTTTAAAAGAGCATCTGATGAAGAGTTAGGCAGCCTACACTCTGTCTGATCTTGGCCTAGACACTAGCTGTGTGGCCCTGGGGAAATCACCTAACCTCTCTGAGTCTTGCCTTCCTCCCCATCTGCTGATGTCTTAGGAGTTTGAGGGAGGGCATATGAATAGGCTCTAATCAGGGCCACTCCCATTTCTCCGCTTTCACATTGAACTTTCATTCAAGGAGAGGTGCTGGGCTAAGATCACGGTCACCTATATGCCCCCACTAGTCTAGGGGCTTCCCAAGGCTGATCTGGTCCTGATATTCTAGGCTCTCGGACCATGTTACAAGGGGGCTCCCCAGATGGGAAGGTAGAGGAAGAGGGAGGGTCTTGGGCTACGGTTCTGCTCTTGGGCAGAATGGGGGGGTCATAGAGCACCCCCACCTCTGGTGCCCAGGCTGGCCCTGGTGGTCCCAGCCGTCACCCATGCCCATGATGGCCGACCTCCTCCTGTCACAGCCAGAGCCCTCCATGCCCAACACCGCCTTGCTCATCAAGAACCCCTTGGCTGCCACCCACGAGTTCAAACAGGCCTGCCAGCTCTGCTACCCCAAGACAGGTAAAGTTGCACCTGTGGACTCGACCCCTCTGCCCCAGAGAGCTGGCAGTCTCGGGAGCTTGGGCTCCCACGGTAAAAGAACCCTAGCGTATCAGTTGCAGATCAGTGTGGGAAAACAGAAGTCCTTCCAGCGCAGGAAAGGAAAGGGACAGACACTTGCCAGGCCTGCTCCCTGCTGGGCACTGTCTTCATAGTTCTCTCCAGAGATACTGAAATGGTCAGGCTCGCTAGAGTCAGGGTGATAGTAGAAGGTGTGGCGGGGGACAGTTGCCGAGGACGGGCTCCTTGGAGAGTCGTCCGTGATACGGGCCCACTTCCTTCAGGGAGCACAGAGCAGGGAAGGGAGCTGATGGGAGGCCCTGGTGAGGGGAGGTAGGTTTTCAGCTGTCCTGCCAGCCATCCCCTGTTAGTTCTGCTTCCGGAATCACTGCCCTGTCCACCCTGCCCATAGGCCCCAGGGCTGGTGACTACACCTACCGTGAGGGCCTTGAGCACAAGTGCAAGCGGGACATCCTGCTTGGCCGGCTCCGGAGCTCCGAGGACCAGACCTGGAAGCGGATCCGGCCCCGGCCCACCAAGACCAGCTTCGTGGGCTCCTACTACCTGTGCAAAGGTGGGTGGGCTGCAGCAGGGTTGGGTAGTGTAGCCAGGGCCTGGCCCCTCTAACCCATCCCCACTCTGCTCATGTCACAGGTGGACATAGCAGGTGTGGTCCTCACGGCCACAGGCAGCTGAGGAAGCTGGGGCTCAGGGCTCCTGGGGCCCGCCAGGGATGAATTTTGCAACAGAATGAGCGTCTCCTGTCCCGACTAGCCGTGTAGACAGGCGGGAAGCATGCGGGATGTTCCACTGAAGCCAGAGCCCCTGCGGCGGCCTGTGCTTGTGAGCATGAGGGTCAGACGTGCTCGGAGAGCTGGTCCCACCTCAGGGTCCCACAGGGCTGCCGGGAGCATGTGCAGAGAATCCATGTAAGGCATGTAGGACCAGCACATAGTAAGGGCTTGTTAGCTCTTTTTAATTATTCTGTGGTTGTCCTTGTCTTCACTTGTGGCACATGGCAGTTTGGTCGGTATTTGATGGACATTTGTCATGTCCCTCATTCTCTTCCCCATCCAAGCGTCCCGGTCCAGTCTATATGGCAGTACATGAGTAGTCACGAGATTGTCGAGCCCGTTCATGCTCACCATCGCACATCCGCACAACAGCCCTGGGTGGGAAACTGAGGCTGTGAGCATCCTCCCCAGGCCCTGCCTTTATCCCCTGACCCAGCCTGTGGCAGTAGCCCACCCAGGCCTTCTGGACCCACTCATTGTCCTCCCAGCAGCCAGGCTGGCCAGTCCCTGACACTCCAAAGGCCACTTCCTGTGGGCAGTGAGATGAAGTGCAGGCTGCAATGAGGCTACGTGTACCCACATGCGCTTCTCCCCCGCTGCCCTAACCACTCCCCAAATCCATTGACCCTCCCGGCTCTGCCGCACACACTGTGCCTTTGAGCCTGGGCATGCTCTGCTCTGCCTTCCAGCATTGCCTGGATCTCGGGAAGCCCTTCCCTGCAGTTCTCCCCCTGCAGACACTCCTACCCCAACCCAGGATCCAGCTCACTCCTCTGGGTCTGTGGCCCGTTGATCCTTTTGTGCCTAGAGCCTGGCACAGGGATGGGACAGGGCAGACTAGAAAGAGCAGGAAGAGGAGAAAGAAAAACAGGTCCCACCCCCAGGAAGTGGCAGGTCTCCAGATTCTGAGCCTCCCTCCCTGGCCCCAGGAGCTTTGCTTAACACCTCACTTGAGCCCCACAATAATTTGGTGTCCTCCATCTCTGGACAAGGCAGCCGGGGCCCAGGGCGTAACAGGGAATCCCAGCCCACGGCTGTCTGACTCCAAAGTGCATGCTCTCAACAATGCAGTATTATTTTCTTGGTGAATAATAATTTTTTTAAAATTTCTCATTTATCTAGAGGCTTGTATACTTCCACAAAGCTCTTTCTATACTTTTTTTTTTTTTTTGCTTAACCTACAAAAGACATGAGTCTACATGTGGGACAGGCAGGCAGAAGTGATTGCTGTCCTCTGCAGGTGCAGAGCACAGAGGGGGCCTGGCATTTGGGAAGGGCCATCCAGCCCTGCTGAGTCCTGTGGGGAAGGCAGCAGCCACTGCCTCACCTGTGCCAGGGCAGAGCCAAGACCTGCCCAGCTCTTGGAGCCAGAGCCCCACCGGCCGCAGCAGGGGTCATGAGGGTGTTGCAGGCTGCCGGCCCCGCCTGGCAGAACGTGTGTCCTGTTGCCTCTTTGCAGACATGATTAACAAGCAGGACTGTAAGTACGGGGATAACTGCACCTTCGCCTACCATCAGGAGGAGATCGACGTGTGGACCGAGGAGCGGAAGGGCACCCTCAACCGCGACCTGCTCTTCGACCCACTGGGGGGCGTCAAGCGCGGCAGCCTCACCATCGCCAAGCTCCTTAAGGAGCACCAGGGCATCTTCACTTTCCTCTGTGAGGTACCCGCCTGCCCCACCCACCCGCCACCCCCACAGTCCATGGCACAGGCAGGGCCACCATGGAAGGTCAGTGCTGGAGCCTGTGGGCTTTGGAGGCCTGACCTTAGAATCAGTAGGTGCTTGGACTGTCAGGAAGTTAGGATCCATGGGATCCTGTCTTGCTAGTGCCCAGATATTGTCCAGCCAGGCAGAAACTGAGGCCACAAAGAAGAATCGTAACCCTCACACCTGCGCTTTCCTTAACAGTGGGTCGCGGGCCGGGCTGGACAGCAGGTGTTTTCGATGCTCATTCCTATACTCGCGGCAGTGCTGGTAGGCAGGTGCTGTCCTCATTGTACAGATGCTGAAGGTTCGGGGAAGTGAGCATGCCTAAGCCACACAGCTAGCCTGGTGCAGCGCTGAGCTTCAAACCCAGACAGCTGCCACTGGTGGTCCTTACAGCCAGGTCCCCGTGACATGGGCAGACTTGGAGGCTTGTCCAAGGCTGCTCCCGAGTCCCCTGTTTTGGGTATGGTGCATTTGGCACTCCTCAGCCACCTGGAGCAAGGTGTCCATGGACTTGCATTTCACGTCTCCCTCCACACACCTTCCCGTCCAGCTGGGCTGGCTTCAGTGCCCGCTGCACTTCCCCGCGTATGCCCTGGCTTTGCCCTCTCCCCAGAGTGCTCTCCTGTGTTTCTGGGTCTCAGACCTCAGGCTCAGCTCTGATTCTAGCAGCTCCACTAAGCTGTTGCTAACTCCCTCCCAGAGCTGTCACTGAAGACCCTGCCTGGCTCCTGTAGTGAACTTGACCCTTGCCTCCCTACCCAGTCGTAGCATGTTGAGGGCAGGAGCAGCGTCACATGTCTATGGAGCAAGGGCTCTAGATGCGGGCTGCTGGAGGGTTTGGTGCAGCTTAGCCCAGGCCCAATCCACTGCGCAGCCAGCCTGTCCCCTGACTCTTAGAGCAAGCAGACTTGGGCTGACTCCCCCGAAGCAGTTGGTCTAGGAATTTTAATTCACAGCCGGGTGGCAGTCTGTAGTTTACAAAGCACCTGCAGTTCCTTTTTATCTGTTTTTTGACCTTTACAGTGAACCTGTGAGACAAAGCAGGTGTGGTCATCCCTGGTTTGCAGTTGAGAAAACAGGCTCAAAGACAGGGAGTAGCCCCTGTCCCAGGCATCTGGTGTGTGAGATCAGAGAGAGGGAGGAGGTGCCAAGGCCCAGGTCATCTGTGAGCTAGAGCCAGAGGCCCTGGAATTTCCTTCCTCACTCCCCTGACCCAGAGCAGGGCTTGCAGGGACCCAGCAGTCCTTCCCTAGGCGGCCATGCGGGGTCCCAGCCCACCCACTTCCCAGGTGGCCATGCGGAGTCCCAGCCTACCCCCTCCCTGGGCAGATCTGCTTTGACAGTAAACCTCGGATCATCAGCAAAGGCACCAAGGACACTCCGTCTGTCTGCTCCAACCTGGCTGCCAAGCACAGCTTCTACAACAACAAGTGAGTGGGACCCACGGCCTGGGCCGGGAGCTCGGGACTGGTGGAGAGTCTCCCTGGCGCAGCCAGATGTCTGGGGAAAGGCTGGGGCCAAAGGGTAGACCTATGGTGTCAAGGCAAGGGGCCGAATTTGGGACTCAGACCCAGCCTCCACATGGAAAAGATGGGAACCGTATTTACTGAGCATCTACTGTATTCCAAGCTTGGCTTGGGTATTTTAATTAATTATCTCAGCAGTCCCTTGAGGGCAGAGTTATTGCCCCTGTTTTTTTGTACAGAGGAAAAAGCCAAGGCCTGGAAGTAGCTTACTCAGCAGGCAGGTGGGTGCCCAGTCTCTGACTCCTGCCTGGCACCCTCCGCTGTGGTGACACCAGCGTCAGACAGTGAGGGAGGTGCCGGCTCGGGTTTGGCACACCGACCTTTGCTCTGTCTTGCTCCCCTTGCTCCGCCCAAGTGAGGATGATGGAGCCTGGGCCCTAGGGAGGAACAGACCTGGGTCCCATTCCTGGCCCTGCCAATGGCCTCCAGCTGCTCCAGCCCTGGGTTTCCTCATCTATAAAGTCGATGATGATCTGATCTAGGCTGGCAGTGAGGGCAGTTAAGATTCTAGGCCCGGGCAGGTGCTTCGGTTACTGTTCCTCTGGGATCAGGGCTGGCTCTGGATCATCACGCCAGAAACCTGAGGGAAATGCCCCTTTTGCCACCCACGGGCACTGCCTTCTCTTGGCCTCGTAGCAGGGCGGTGGGGCCTGGGGCCCTCCTCTGTTGGCATCTCCATCTTTGAGCCGGCACCAGATCGAATCCTGAGGCAAGGGGCCCAGTAAAGCCGAGCTGGGACCCAGGCCCAGACTGCCTGAGCAGGAGAGCCCTGTCTCTTCCCTCCCACGCCGTCCGTGTTCTGGAGTCAGTTAATGGGTCAGGAAGTGCCCAGGGTGAAGCCTGGTGCTGGGAAGGGTGGCCCTACCAGGAGGGTGGACTGCATTCTGCCCCTGCGCCCTGCCCGCCAGGTGCCTGGTGCACATCGTCCGCTCCACCTCCCTCAAGTACTCCAAGATCCGCCAGTTCCAGGAGCACTTCCAGTTCGACGTGTGCCGCCACGAGGTGCGCTACGGCTGCCTGCGCGAGGACAGCTGCCACTTCGCCCACAGTTTTATCGAGCTCAAAGTCTGGCTGCTGCAGCAGTACTCAGGTGAGGGGCAGGCAGCGGGCTAGGGCAGCACGGGACTGGCCACAGGGTGACAGGCCAGGGCCCTGTGGCCAGCTGGGGGTACTCGAGAGTTCAGGGGAGGGCGGTGCTGAGGGGTAGGTGCTCCAGGGGAGCTGACGTGTCCCGGACATCAGAGACAGGCTCTGCTCTCAGGGAACGTCCAGGCTCGGAAAATCCCGGGCTTCTCCCTGTGCAGGCGCTGCCAGGGGAGCATGGGGGTCGGGGAGGGAGTCGGACCCAGGCTCCCGCCCCGGCTCCTCCGCTTGCTGCCTGGCTGGTCGTGAGCAAGTCCCTTCCCCTCTCTGGGCCTCGCTCTGCTCATCTGCGAAAGGGCGATCCTCATGGCTACCTTGCCGAGCTGTTGTGGAGATGAAAGGTGTTCACGCGCTCGCTCACTCGCTCATCTAACGGGGACCTGCCGAGCACCTTCTCTGTGTCAGGGGACTCAGCCATTAGCTAGTCGAGCCCTTTGCTCTCAGAGAACTCACACTTGTGAGGGGAGGCAAGACAGGCAATGTGCGAGGAGGTAAATAAGTCCCATGTTCCATCTGACCTGGGAAGCACAGTCCCCCCCCGCCTGTGGTAATTTGTTAAATAATTAGCAGCATTTTGTGTGTTGAGGGGGACATATAAAATGTGGTACATCTAGCAATCGGTGTCTTAGAGTCGATGAACATAGTGACATAATTCCAGGCGAGAGCAGGGCTGTGAGGAAAGTGAGAGCGGCGGATAGAGAGGGACTCGGGTGAGATGGCCAGGAGAGGTCTCTGAGCAGGCCACAGCAAGGCTCCACCTAGAAAGCCTGTCCACGGGGCTAGAGCAGCTCAGTGAAGGTGGGTGGGGAGGGTATATGAGGCCCAAGAGGTCAGCAGGGACCCGAGTGTGTACGACTCTCGAGGCCATAAACAGAAATAGTTGGGATTGTTCTAAACATGACGTGCCCTGTCTGGAGGAGGGTTTTGGTGGAGTTGTATGATCTGATTGGTATTTTTCAATGTTGCTCTGGCTGCTGAGTGGAGGATGGAGGGGCGAGGACAGAAGCCAGGAGTCCAGAGAGGGTGGCTTAGGGCAGGGTGGCAGCTGTGGAAATGGGAGAAGTGGTCACATTCTGGGTATATTTTGATGGTGGAGCCAATAAGATTTGTTGATGGACCAGATGGGAAGTGAGACAAAGGACAGCATCAAGGTTGACTCCAAGGTCAAAGTAACTAGAAGAATGGGGCTGCCATGTCCTAAGAAGGAGGACGCTATAGGAGGACAGGCTGGGCTAACATCAGGGCTTAGGGCGGGACGTGGGCAGTCTGTGCCACCTGGTGGACTCAGGTGGAGACGTAGAGCAGGCGCTGGATTGGGGGTCTGGGAGTTCTCAGGAGAGGTCTGGGCTGTCAGTACCGGTGTCAGGGGCAGTGCCTGGCCCAGAGTGAGCTCCGATGAGTCGCTGCCGTGGAGCAGCATCCAGAGGAGGAGGTGGATGGCGAATCCAACGTGGGAAAGGCACTAGGAAGAGTAGAGGAAGCTGGGAGGAGGGCAGGCTTCACGGAAGAGGCGCTGGGCTGCACCTCAAAGGTTGGGCTTTGAGGCAGCAGTCTGAGGCTGGCAGGGATCAGATTGGAAGAGCCACAGGCTGGGGTGTTTGCCCTTCGGGGACTGGCAGTGAGAGCCGTGTACCGTGGTGAGCTGGTGAGCCAGGCCGGGCAGGCACGGAGCCCTGAAACCAGGGGGCTAAAGGCTGCCAAACAGGCGTCGGGTTTGAGGCCCTGCTGGGAAGGCGGGTCAGGAAAGGGTGCTGGGCCACTGGCCCAAGAGACAGGGACACGGGCGAGGCACAGGGCCAGTATCTTTCTACTGCATTTCCCTCTCTTTTTGGCCATATTTAATTCTCTCACTCCCTGAGAGAATTTGTTCCCATTTTGCAGATGATCAAAGTGGTTCCTCTGCACCCCATGTCTTACTATGATGGGGCCTAACTGGAGATGGGGTTCTTCCACGTGGGCCCTGAGTGGCCCTGGCACCTCGAAGCTTCCTGCCTCTCTCCCCGCTGAACCCTTCAGGGACGCCTGTGTCTACCCCGCCCTCCCTAGGCATGACCCATGAAGACATCGTTCAGGAATCCAAGAAGTACTGGCAGCAGATGGAGGCCCATGCAGGCAAGGCCAGCAGCAGCTTGGTAAGGCCCCAGGGTCAGCATCGGGTTGGGGATGGCCCCACAGGAGCTGTCCCGTCCCTTCACTTTGACATACTTTCGCATGTACCAGAGAGCTGTAAGCATAGGATGAAGAATTCATCTGTACCCTTTACTGGATCCCCCAGAAGTTATTTTACCACATTCCGTGCTCACTTTGTGTGTGTGTGTGTGTGTGTGTGTGTGTGTGTGTGTGTGGTGCGTACATACACACATACACATTTATGTACATAAATACCCACTGGTTTTTGTCTCTCTGGACCATTTGCGAGTAAGCTGCAGACACGATGCCCCATTACTCCTGAACACGTCAGTGTGCATGTCCTAAAACGAGGCCGCTCTCACACAGCCGCGGTACGGTTACCAACATCGTGGGGGTCACACCGAGATCATTCTTCAGAGGCCACGAATTGCGTTCTGTTGTGTCTCTTTGGTCTCTTTAATCTAGAACAGTTCTCTGTCTTTCTTTGTCTTCCATGGCATTGACATCTTTGAGGAGCCAGGTGTTTTGTAAAAGACCATCGTCTGGGCTTAGGTGGTGTGTCCTCCTCGGCGCACACGTCGGGAGGCATATCATCTCAGTGTGTCCCGTCACTGCTGACACTTTGATTAAACTTTGGTAACTTGATTAAAAGTTCCTCCACTGCAAATGTTTCTTCGTTGTAAAGTTAGGTCTTTCCCCTTTGTAATTAATAAACATCTCCTGGGAGATACTCTGAGACTATGTGAATACCCTGGTGCTGCTCAGGCTGACACCCACTGATGGCATCCCCTGCTGTCCCTCTGGTTCTTCCCCATGACCCTAAAGACATGAGCCATGGTATTAGTGGCTCTTGCAGATGGAGAAACATCCTCGAAGATTGTTAGCGACTTGCCTGGGGGCACAGTGAGTGGGGCAGATCCCAAGTTCTCTGACACCCTCTCCAGAGCTCTGCTCCCTCCCTACCGCACCATACTGTCACCCATCACCCTGAGCTTCCTCCGCTGTAAAATGGGGATCATAACGCTGCCCCGCCCACCTCCTGGGGTAGGCAGCAGGCTCACAGGAGCTGACCCAGGCTGTCCTGTGCCACCCTGAGGCTCACACCCTCCCCAGCCGGTGGGATCACTGTGACTGTAGATGACAGTGGGGACACTGGACTCAGAGGGTTGGACCCAGGGCCAGGGAGACAGTGAGTGTGAGGGGAGGCCTCTGTGTTGTCCACACATGGGGGATGGCCCTTTCACCCATGCCAGACCCACCCACTGATCAACTTGGGAGGAGGCTGTGCCCCTGACCCCTCATGAGGCCGGCCTGGGTGTGGCAGGGAGCCAGCAAGCAGGGCAGGCTGCCTGGGGCTAGGCATGGGCCAGGCTGGGGCAAGGCTGCCCGCCCCCTCGAGCCTACCCTCCCTCCCTAACCTCCTCGCTCCTGGTCCTCTCCTCTTTCCCTCCCCATCAGTCTCCTGTGCAGTCTTCTCCCCTCACCCCTTTCTGTGGTTTCTTTTTGCTCCTGGCCAGGACCCTGGCAGAGAAGCAGTGAGGGGCTCAGCTGGGACCTTCTAAAGAGAGAACACCGAGCTGGGTGTGATGGCACGTGCCTGTAGTCCCAGCTACTCGGGAGACTGAGGCAGGAGGATCCCATGAGCCCAGGAGTTGGAGGTTGCAGTGAGCTTTGATGACTCCACTGCATTCTAGCCTGGCAACAGAGCAAGATCCTGTCTCAAAAAACGAAAAAAAGAGAGAACACCACCTGGGGATGGTGGTTCATACCTGTAATTCCAGCTACCCAGGAGGCTGAGGTGGGAAGATCACTTGAGTCCAGGAGTTCAAGACCATCCTGGGCAATATAGCAAGACCCCATCTCTGCACTGAGTCTTCGACACCTGCTATCTCTCTGACCACTCCTCCTTTATTCCTGCCCAGTGGTGCTGCCAGGGTCACCCAGGACAGGTTGCAGGCCCAGCTGCCCAAGGGTTCCGTGAGGGGCTTCCTTCTGCTGCCAGGGGCCCCACCCCACCCAAGATGCCACGCTTGGCCTGGCTTGAGAACAGGGCTTCTGTGCCAGGCCTATGGCCCAGATGTGAGGCTTCTTGCTTATTTGCCATTCAGAGGGTGAGGCCAGTGATACTATGTGGCCATGGAGGGGACACCAGGGCAGAAGCTGCCCAGGCCTGGTGCCCGTGGCTCATCTGTGCCATCCCACCAAGGAGCATGAGTGACCATCTCCCACCAGGCCCCTGTCCTCATGCCACTTGCAGATGGGTGGGTTGGTAACCTCTGAGCCTGTTTCTGCTCAGGCAGGTGGGAATGATCTCACCCACTTCCCAGGGCTCTGGCACCCTGAGGTAGGAACTCAGGACTAGGGGCGCTGCTCTACTGAACACCTCTGCGCCCCCTCCCCTTGCCTGTGAGTTGGGAGCAGTGCCTGCCTCTCATGCTGCTTGTGAGGATCGAGGGGAACACCCAGAAATCAACAGCCATGTGGATAAACCTCCTGCCTGCTCCTGTGCAGGCGAGTCCCAGTCCCAAAGGTGTGATTTTACCTTGTTGCTGGGTGCTACCCTGGGGCTGAGCTGGCCCTCGAGGTGTCCAGGGCAGGCCAGGGGTCTGTCAGCAGTGCAGCCCTGGGCTGGCAGTGCTGGAGGCACAGGGGAGTGGGCCACAGCTCTCGTCCTGGTGGAGCTCCCAGGGCAGAAAGCTCACTCCCTCCAGCCTGGAAAAGCAAGGGGTGACTCTGCGCCCAAGGCTCCTGGGAGGACAGGGCATGGCGGGGGGATGGATGGTGCATTCACAGAACAGCAGGTTGGCTGGTGTAGCTGGGTGAGGGGCTTCAAGGTGGCATCTCTCACCCCTTCCCTGTCTCAGGGGTACAGAAAGGGCTGGCCCTCTGCCTGCAAAGCAAAGGCTGGCTCAAAGGACAGGAAAGGAGCATGGTGCATGGGGCCTAAGAGACTAGCGAGACATTGCCCCAGAGGGAGGGGCTGGAGTCCAGGGCTGCCCAGATGTCTGTCCCGCTGCTCAAGGCATCCTCCTCCCTGCCCACCCCGCTGCTGCCCACCTTTTGAATGTCTGCCTGCTCTCTGCAGGCCTAGCACCCAAAACTGGATGAGTCAGTCAACATGCAGCAGTTTTCAGGGACGAGGGGAGCTCCTAGAATGGGCGGCTGTGACTTAGAAGAGCTCCAGGGAAGGCTTCCTGCAGGAGATGGCACTTGAGTTGAGTTCTCGAAGATAGTTTCTAGAATAAGCTAGATGAAGAATGGAGGAAGGGCATTCCAGGCAGAGGGAACAGCATGTGCAAAGGCAGGGAGGTAGCATGCTTTGCCCTAGGAAATACAGTGGTTCCACAGAGCAGGCCTCCAAGGGGGTGGGGTGGGGTGAGGTGGGGGCAGCCAGAGAAGGCCAAAAGAGCACTTAATAAGGAGTCAGGAGTCCCATCCACTAAGAAGCCCGCTGGCAGGACCAGGGAGTGGACCAGCCCATTCCAAGGCTCTGGGCAGCCCCAGCTCTCCCAGAGACCACCCGTGTGACAGACCCCAGGGCCTCAGGCCTGGTGCCTGCAGCTTCACCAACTGCTCTCCCTGTCCCCCTACAGGGTGCCCCACGGACACACGGGCCCAGCACCTTCGATCTGCAGATGAAGTTTGTGTGTGGCCAGTGCTGGAGGAACGGGCAGGTGGTGGAGCCTGACAAGGACCTCAAGTACTGCAGCGCCAAGGCCCGGCACTGGTGAGCCAGGCGCTGGGCGGGGGCGCGGGCAGGATGGGGCCATCTAAGCACCACGGCGTGGAGGCCACACAGCCCTGAGGCTCTGTCCTGACTTCTTCCCAACTGGCTCCTTTCTCTGTCCTGCAGCTGGACCAAGGAGCGGCGGGTCCTTCTGGTGATGTCCAAGGCCAAGAGGAAATGGGTGTCAGTGAGGCCGCTGCCGTCCATTCGCAACTTCCCACAGCAATACGATGTGAGCACAGGGGCGGGATGCAGGGGACTGTGGGGTCCCAGGAGGGCTGCCTGCCAGCCAAGACAGTGACCCGGCCAGCGGGACTCAGCAGGCTCTGCCCACCCTGCCCCACAGCTCTGCATCCACGCGCAGAACGGCCGCAAGTGCCAGTACGTGGGGAACTGCTCTTTCGCACACAGCCCCGAGGAGAGGGACATGTGGACGTTCATGAAGGAGAACAAGAGTGAGTGGGCAGCCGGGGCAGGGCGGGGTCTCAGCCGACGCCTCCTCACTGCTGGACATCTCGATGCACCGTGGGTGCTCTCGGGCCCCCTTTTGCTGCCTGGGCCCCTCTCCATCCACACCAGGCCCCACGGTCAGGCAGCCGATCAGCAGGGCCTGGGGTGCCCATGGCTCCCAAACCAAGCAGGGATCACGGGGCAGGACGAATGGGGAATCCCTCCTCACCAGGCACTCTGTCCCTTCTCCCCTGCCCAGTCCTGGACATGCAGCAGACCTATGACATGTGGCTGAAAAAACACAACCCAGGGAAGCCTGGAGAAGGGACCCCAGTCAGTTCTCGGGAAGGAGAGAAGCAGATCCAGATGCCTACGGACTACGCAGACATCATGGTAACGCCCACCCCTGCGTACCCAAGGGGCTGCCTGGAGGGCCGGTGACCTCGAGCTCAGCCTCCCTGAGGGAGGTGGGCCAGGCAGAGGTGTGGGGAGCAGACACCCACAGTGGCTGTTCCCCAGATGGGCTACCACTGCTGGCTCTGTGGCAAGAACAGCAACAGCAAGAAGCAGTGGCAGCAGCACATTCAGTCTGAGAAGCACAAGGAGAAGGTCTTCACGTCCGACAGCGACGCCAGTGGCTGGGCCTACCGCTTCCCCATGGGCGAGTTCCGACTCTGCGACAGGTGCTCCCCGGGAGGGCAGGGCCTGGCAGGACGTGGGGTGGGCCTGAGGAGATGGGGCCGTGGGCAGCTCTGGCTCCCCTTGGTCTGGAGGTGGTGTGAGGGGGGTCTTGGGTATGAGTATAGCTGTGGGGGTGGGGCAGGAAGGGCCGGTGTTGGAGGGGGGTGCTCAGACCTGCCCAGACCTCTGCTTTGCAGCCCAGGGCAGATCCCAGAGAGGGCCGGGACATCCAGATGTTCCCTGAGTTGGGACGGAAGCTGCCCAGGGAGGGGCTTGTCTTAGGAGAGGTCAGGTGGCCAGCCCAAGGTCCCAGCCCCGGGTGGGAAGGGCACAGAGCTGGGGCAGTGAGCCTCCTGCCGCCCACAGGCTCCAGAAGGGCAAAGCCTGCCCAGACGGGGACAAGTGCCGCTGCGCCCACGGACAGGAGGAGCTCAATGAGTGGCTGGACCGGCGCGAGGTGCTGAAGCAGAAGCTGGCCAAGGCTCGCAAGGACATGCTGCTGTGCCCTCGGGATGACGACTTTGGCAAATACAACTTCCTGCTGCAGGAGGACGGGGACACTGCTGGTGCCACCCCAGAAGCCCCTGTTGCTGCTGCCACCACTGGGGAATAGGGCCAGGTCTTGGCTGTGGGTGAAGTCCTGGGGTCGGGGTTGGGTGGGGACAGAGGGCCTGATAGAAGGGCCAGGGCAGGCCAGCTGGGGGTGGGGGCCGCCCTCCTCAGGCAGCCCCCAGCCCCCTGGGGCCCCGGCCATCCTCTCCGCCCCCGTGCCCCAGGTGTGCATACCCAAGTGCACGTGCTGCAGTCCCAAGGGTCCCAGGGTCCCTGTCCTGCTGAAACCTGGGCAGACCCTCCCCCACCCCCATGGCTCTCCTGGTTGGGGAGGGAGGGGCCTGGTGACCCTCCAGCTTCAGCCTACAGCTTTAACTTATGTCTGCTCCTAAAGGGGCCCAAAGCTCAGGGCTGGGGAGCCTGGAGTCCCCATTTGAATCTGTAGCAGGAGGGTCCTTCTCCCTGCCCCCTCCCAAGCCCCCACCCCTGGGGGACAGATCGGGACACAGCAGAGGGCAGGAGGCCCCGATTAGCTTTAAAATGCAGTCCCAGGATGGAGCTGGGGACACTGTACTGGTCACTTGCCCCCTGGGGCCTCAGTTTCCCCTCTGGTTAGAAGGGTGGGAGGAGCTGGGCTAGACGATCTCTGGCGAAACTAAGGAGTCTGGGGCCTGTTGATGATGCCGCCACCCGAGCCCTGCTGCCTCATGGGCCAGAGAATGTAGATTGCAGATCCTCAGAGCCTCTAGACGTGACTCAACACAGACCCCATTTTGCAGATAGGAAGACTGAGGCTTAGAAAGGAGATGTGATCTGCCCAGGTCCCAGCACGAAGCCGAGCTGGGATGAAAACAGTGGTCAGAGGCTCAGGGCCAGTTGTTGGGTGGAGCCTCTGGGCCCCTCAGTGGGGATGTGACAGTCAGCGCGCAGCTGCGGTCCCAGGCAGGCTGCCGAGGGGCTGGGGAGGGAGGCCCAGAGGAGGGCTGGTCATGTCAGCACCCATGGAGGGACAGTCCCCTCCTGGGGTGGTTGTGGGGAGTATAGCAGCAGAGGGTACTTGCCTCGCCGGCCCCGGGAGAGGTGGCAAAGGGCAGGGCACCGGGAGCTCAGGTTCCGAGGTATAGCGGGTGGGCGAGTGGGGGGCCTAGGAGATGTGGAAAAAAGGGGGCTCAACCTTGGACACCATAGGCCACTTCAGGATGGGACCTGGCTCCTCTTTCTTGGACACCCAGCACGATCCTCTCCCCTAAACCCAGACATACAGTTACGACCATCTGTCCCAGCCCCTCCCTGGTCCCCAGCCCTGCCAGCTGCCTGGGACCCCAGCTGACCCTCAGCCCCTGCCCCCAGCCACCAAGGCCTCTCCCATCCCTTCGTCTGACGTGTCTGTGTGCACCCCCTCCTCTCCATCCCACCCCCCATGGGCAGACACAGCCTCCCCTGGCTCCCCAGACATTCCAGAATGCCCCACACCGTTGGCACAAGGAGTGAGGCAGCCCCGGAAGGAAGCAGGGCCCAAGGCTGAGGGGTGAGATGGAGAGAAGGGTCGGCCCCATCCTTCTCCCCGATCAAGGATCGACAAGGATTGACAGTGCGCGCTGACAGCCCCTGGGGCTATAGAGAACCCGTCCCTCTTCCGCCACTGCCCGACCTTTCCTGGCATGCACCCTCCCTCTTCCCCGCCCCCGCCCCCAGCAGGCCAGCACTGCAGAGTCTGGGTGCTGGTGGCATGGCTGGAGAGGAGGAGAGAGCACACCCCAAGTGGGGGCCGTGGTTGTGGCCGTGAGTGTCGACGATACTTGTTTTCCCTGATCTGTGGTGTTGCAGTCTGTTGTCACCAGCCTTGTTTTTAGTGTGTATATATGTCGCCCCCGTGATGCATATATACACAGGTATTAAATATATCGCTCTATATAATATTATATATGTGTGTGGTATCCAAGGAATCACTTCTAATGAAGGCTAAAGATTAAGAATTTGGCTAGAAAATGCAGCCATCCTTGCGTGATTTGGAGGGTTTTAGGGGTCATTGGGCTACTTGTGAAGGAGAGAGGGACTCGAGCTGTGGTTCAGAGGTGATGTGGGCCCAGCTCTGCCTGGTAGCTCCCCAGACCACCCAGTCTAGTGGGGAGAGCACGGAGCGCTCAGGGAAAGAAGGTGATTTGTATTTGTCTCCCCTCAAAGGAAAAGTGTTAGAGTCTAGAGTTTTCATCTTCAGCCTGTTATCTTGTCCAGGGGCCTTTGGGACCTGGGGCTCCCTGGCCTGGCCAGAGCTGGACCCCCATAGGGCAGGGCAGGGAATTGGGGGGGGCAGAATGCACTTTTGACGACCCCTCCAGGGCCCTTAGCTGAGAGGCTGAGAGCATCGAATCAGGACTGTGCAGGCCCCTAGCAAGGCAGGGACAAGACGGCATGGCGAGTGGGGTGGGGGTGGAGTGGAGAAGGATGCTGCATTTCTCAGCTGGGCAGTAATCAATTTAATGGTCCTTTTAAAATGTCTGTGTATTAAAAATTTAAGAATACCACACTTTAATATTAAATATTCATAAGGTCTAGTATCTTGATAATAATGTAGATGTTTTAATAACAATTTTTGTCCTTCTTAAAATAAAATTGAAAGAAACTTGCTTCTTTTAGCCTTTGTTCTAGAAAATAAACTTGTGCACTTTGACCTCTGTCCCTGAGGTGTCACTCCTGTTCTCCCTGCTTGGCACTTGCAGCCCAGTGCCTGGGCTGCTTTGTACTCATGGGACAGAGCTGGCTGGTGCTGGCTCTGCCCTGGGTGGACATTCCGAGGGGTGAGGAGCAGGACTGTGTCCCTGTGTACACACAAACCCAGCTGACCCCGGCTCAGGCAGCACCTCGGCTGGCAGGGACAAGCTGTGCTGTGCACAAGTGTCCCCAGCAAATACCCTTTGCTGGCTCTTCAGCCTTTCTGCTCACAGCCTTTCGTGGTCCAGCGGTGCCCACACCTGCCCTGTTCTCACCAGTGAGTGCCAGCTGGGTCTTGGAGGCCTGCCTCTGTGCCCTTTCTGGATGTAGCTCTTCCAGGAAGGTGAGGGCCGTGCCTTTGAATATGATCCCAACTGCAGCCCTGACTCCTCTGGGCCCAAAGGAGACCAAAGTCACACGGGCCCAGTTTCCTCATCTTTAAAAGGAGAGGTTGTATTAGAGCTGGAGTTCTCAATCAGGGACACCTGTACCTGCTGGGGTGGAAGGTACATTTTCAAATCTCTTGGATGGTACATAGTTGCAGGTGATGAAGGGGAGTCCTGTGGGGACGGGCTGCATGAGCAAGCTCTGATCAGGTGGCTTTAAACTGCAGCATAAAGTGGCCCCAGGAACAGAGGTTCAGGGCCTGAGAAATGCCTAAAGATGGAGTCATTTGGGCCAGGTATACAGTGGGTGCTCTAATGCTTGACAAATGATGGGATGAGGGACAGAAGCAGCCAACTTTATGGGGCACCTTGTTTGCACAGGTGTGGTACAGATAGTGTGTCTATTCTCCACAACAGCCCTACAAGTTTGCTGTCCACATTGGGGTCATATACAACCGGTGAAAAGTCAAGAGTAGGGATGGGGATGTGTTCGGTGACATTGAGGACACCAGTGGACCTCAGACCTTCCATGTTTCATAGCCCAGAGAGGTTCAGTGAGGGTTCCAAGAACTCTCAGGAAGGAGGCGGGAAAAAGACCAAGAACCACTGGGAAGTGGGTGTTAGCAAAGGTCCCCTCAGCTCTGCCATTCGGGGGTTCTCAGCACCCCTGGCCACGCTGGGAAAAACCAAAGTGGCGTGGCAAGGTCAAGTTCGCAGAAGAAAAACGCAGACGCCCCCTCAGACTGGAGAGAGCATGGGCTCGCACCAGGACCTTCCTTGAGCTCAGAGAATTAAAGACAGTAAGACAAGCAGGACTTCAGTGACCCCAGTGAACTAAATTGGTAAATTCTCCTCTGATCCTTGTTTGGTAAGCATGACCTGACTACCCACAGGGTAGATGGGGATACGAGATGACTGAAGAAACTGATTTCCTTTGAGTCCACAGTCTGCCAGGGGAGACCGACCTGACAGAAGACTGTAGGATGATGGGGTGGGCACAGGGGTGGGAAACACTCAGGGTGCCAGGGAAGGCCCCTCGTCCAGGCTGGGGAGCCTGGGAGGGCTTCCTGAGGAGGTGAAACTGGAATTGAGGCTTCAAAAATGTTTTTTAATCATTGTAATCAGTGTGCATCTACTGTTTTGCATCTTGCTTTTTCTCTTAATTGTATTTCACACATGCAGTTCCATGTACCGGGGTAACCTTCATAGTCAGGGGCTGACATTCGTCCTATCAGTGGGTCAGAGCTGACACAGGTCCATTTCTGGGCTTCGGCTCTGCATGTGGAGGCCTCGGTGCCCACGACCAACACAGTACACCAGCTGCCTCCACTCTGGGGAAGCTGCTTCCAAGGATAGCCCTGGGGCAAGTGGATGCCTGTCAGGGACCTGCAGGCGGAGGGGTGAGGGGCATCTTGGCACCTCTAGAGAAGGCCTTGAGGGCTCTGCCAAAAAACGGCATCCACATATGCCCCCACCAGGGGAGCCCTTTGCAGCCTCCAGGGAAATACCTGCAGGCACTCAGGAAGGGCAGCCTATGCCACTGGCCCCACCTGGTTGATGATCAGTAAGTTTGTCTCAACCTCTTCTGACATCTTCATTTTGGGCCTGGAAGTGAATTATGCACTGGTCAGGGAGAGGGCAAGGCTCTGTGCAAGTTCGTGGTCCAGTCCTCCCTCGATCTGGGCCTCTCAGCTGAACGAGGCCCTAGATGTTCTTGGGGGCCTTTTCTACTCTGATCCCAGCCTCTTGTCTGGGATCACAGCTTCCCTGTGAAGAGACGTAGCTATGGGCACATGAAGGGCACCTGGTTCCTAGTGATACAACTGATGAAAAGCCAAGGGCAGGGGTGGGGATGGGTTCAGTGGCATCGAGGACACCAATGGACCTCAGACCTTCTGCAGTGCACATCAGACCCTGAGCTGTGAAACCCAAGAAGTGCAGGCAAACTCAGCATGCCTGTCCTGTGGCCCCTCCAGAGGTCTCTGGGTATGTCCCTGGCCTTCCCTTCTTACCTCTGTCCTCTCCAGCCACCTGGCCCTGCAACCCACTGATGTGCTCCCTGTCTGACCAGAGGTGATACCGCCAGCTGGACACCCTGAGCACACAGTGAGGGGTGCCAAGGTGGACTTTCAGGAGTGTGAAAATTCTCTAAGGATAGAGAGTTGCCTGGCCAGGTATGATATTTAACTTTGAATTCCTTACAGGGTTTCGCCTGGTGCCAGGTATGTGGTAAGTGCTCATTCGTGGCCTTAGAGGCTTAGGACACGTACATTAAAAGGAGTCTGCAGAGAGCTCACAGGAATCAGTCTCCAAGAATGAAATGTCATGCAGCAGGTGTTTCTGAGACACACAGGGTACTTCCTGTTGCCTCTGAAGTCATGCTCTGCGGGCACCTGGCCACTCCACCTTTGCGATAAGCCAGTCTTGCACTCGAGAGGAGTCTTAGGCCAAGGAATAGTTAATGCACCAGCCCAGCCTGAGTGAGCCCTGCCTGCAAATCACAGGTCAACTCAGGGCAGCTGCATACGGGCCCAGCCTCACTCCCACCCGCAGGCTCGCAGAGGCAGAGGGCACCGACCAGGGTTCTGGCTGGGAACAGAGCAGTAAGGAGGCCTCCCCTTCGTAGTCACAAAATACTCTCAACTGATCAAAACATACAACTCTTCAAAAATGTACTTAAAAATTTCATATATATATATATGCTCACTTTTGCAAAAAGAGACATTGGAATGAAAATAAGAAACTGATTAAATGTGTAATGGGGAGGAGGAACAGGACAGAAATGACATTTCTCAAGTATACCTTACCAGAGGTTTTGAGCTTTGGGCCATGTACTATTTTTTGGTTTCCTTTATTTTTTTTTTTTTTTTTGAGACAGGGTCTTGCTCTGTCACCAGGCTGGAGTGCCATGGTGTCATGGTGTCAGCCTAGCTCATAGCAACCTCAAACTCCTGGGCTCAAGCAATCCTCCTGCCTCAACCTCCTGAGTAGTTGGGACTACAGGCACATGCCACCATGCCTGTCTAATTTTTTCTATTTTTAGTACAGACGGGGTCTTGCTCAGGTTGGTCTCGAACTCCTGAGTTCAAGTGATCCTCCCACCTCGGCCTCCCAGAGTGCTAGGATTATAGGTATGAGCCACCGCGCCTGGTCTATACTATTTTTTGGATTCAAAAATTAAGATTAATTTTTTTATTTCAAAGTATTATGGGGTACAAATAGTCTTGGTATTTTGGTTACATAAATCGCTTTTATAATGCTTGAGTCATGGTTATAAGAGTACCCGTCACCCAGATATTGTTCATTGTACCCATTAGGTAGGTTTTCGCCCATCCCCTCCTCCCCCTTTCTAAAATTAATTTTTAATTAATTTGGGAAAAGAACATAATTTGGGATGGTTACTAGGGAAGAAAGGAGGGTAATTAGAGGATAAGCTGGGGGTTGCTGGGAAGGGGAGAAGCCAGAAGGGGTTCCTGGAGTATTTTTGATTCTGTGCAAAATGAAATTTTGGAAAACAGCAAAGGACTGCGTAGAAATCAGCTACAGTGCAGAAAACCAAATGCTTATTGCATCCAACCTGCACCTTCAGAGCTGTAGAATTAGAGCTGAAAGGAACCTTAGAGCAGAGGTCCCCAAACTACGGTGAGTTGTATAATTATTTCAATATATATTACAATGTAATAATAATAGAAATAAAGCACACGATAAATGTAATGCGCTTGAATCATCCCGAACCGTGCCACCCCCTCCAGCTCCAGTCCGTGGAAAAATTGTCTTCCATGAAAACGGTCCCTGGTGCTAAAAAGGTTGGGGACTGCTGCCTTAAAGGTTACTGCATTGAGTAGTTTTGGAATTGAGACCCAGAATCACTGCCTCACTTATTCAAGATCCCACATCAATGCATGGCAGAATCAAGAACCTGACATCCCCTGGCCAGGTCTGGCTTTGCTCTCATGTTGGCCTTAGGTAGATAGTGACATGCAGAATCTTGGCATCACCCACAACACTCAAGTAGCCTGAGGACCACAGAGGCCAGACAGTGTGCTGGTGGGAGGTCAAGGAAGGGGACTAGCAAACAACCAGTTGCCACTTGGAGAGCTGGGACATCAGGACAAACCTGAGCCAGGCCTGCTGAGTGCCCCCTTTCGGTGGCACCTGCCTCTTCTCTCCCTCCCCACTGGAAGACCAAAGAACCTCAGGCAGCAGGTTTTATCATTTCTCTTTGGGAAACAGACTTCGGGCTCTGCAGATGGTGTAACGCCCCAGTTAGGTATGCCACATGCAACTAGTGTGCCTTGTAGGGTACATGTGCATGGCACATACACATCAGCATGAAAACATGCCACAACCCCTCAAGGCTCACAAGCTCGCTTGTGAGGGTATGATGCCCACTGGTGTCCCCGTATGTATGTACCAACACAGAGTATTTTTTGTGCTGACCTGCCTGGGACGCTGGTGTGGCCTGTCATTCTTTCTTCCCGGGGCCTCAGGTCCCAGCCCTGATGGTTTCCATGGCGCACCCTGTTCCCT